TGGACATTGAAGGTCCAGATCTAGATGTGGACCTGAAAGGGAAAGTACCTGAAATAGAAGGTGAAGGAAGCAAATTCAAACTGCCAAAGTTTGGAATTTCACTTCCTAAGGTTAAAGGAACAGGACTGGATATTAACGCACCCAAGCCAGATGTTGATATTAGGCTTCCAGAGGCTAAAATACAAGCAAAGGTTCCTGAAGTAGACATTGAGGCACCCTCAGTGGAAGGCAAAATAGAAATTCCAGAAATCGATGGAAAGGGTCTTGACGTGAAACTAAAGAAGCCAAAAAAATCATTGCCCAAGTTTGGAATTTCAAAGGCAGATATGAAAGTCCCAGAGGCTGAGATTGATGTCAACCTCCCAAAAGGAGATATTTCTCTTCCCGAAGGAGCAGTAGAAATCAAAGGGCCAGAGGTGGATATCAAAGGTCCAAAGATTGAAGCAGAAGTAAAAGATAAAGATATTGACATTGAGGGCTCTCATGGGAAATTTAAAATGCCGTCTTTTAAAATGCCAAAATTTGGATTTTCAACTCCAAAAGTTAAAGCAGAAGCACCAGAAGTCAGTACCGACATCTCGATACCTGACATAGATGCTCCATCAGGAAAAGTAGGTGTGGACATTGAAGCACCACGTGTAGACGTTGAGAAGCCAGACAGCAAATTTCAAATGCCCAAAGTCAAAATGTTAGACATGGATATATCTCTTCCCAGAGTCAAAGGCCCAGAGATAGACATTCAACAACCAAAAGCACAAGCTGATGTTTCCATTTCAAAGCCAGATCTTGATGTTAAAGGGCCTGAAGTAGATCTTAAATCTCCATCAACACCAAAAACATCTAGAATTCATCTGCCTACATTTGGAGATTTACTTAAGGGATTCGATCTAGAATTCCATGTCCCTTCATTGGACGCTGAAGATCAATTGGTATCTCCTCAAGCAGATATTTTTCACTCGAGGGTGAATAAGGGCGACAATGAGGGCAGTAGTGTTCTTACAGTCGATCAAAAAGAACAGATTTCTGCTGATGTCATTCTCCCAAACCTACAAACTGGTGACCTTGGTGCTAAAGAATGCATTGAAGCCACCTCTGAAACCAAGGAAACAGACATTCCACATAAAAAGGAGAGGTTTGGGAAATCTAGGTTTAGGTTTCCCAAGCTGGGTTTTGGTGATTCCTCACACGAAGACAGTAAGACAGAAAACACTTCCCTTATCAGCGGAGCAACAGAAAAGCCACTTGTAACTCCAGAAAAAGCAGAAACCATAGGAATAGAAACTTCAGCAAAGACTGATAAAGGTAGTTGGTTTAAGTTTCCAAAACTTGGGATTTCGTCACCCTCAAAAACTGCCAAAGATCCTGACGACCAGGTCATCCAGCCCTGTGGGGATACAGGTGATACTGAGGGAGATACAAGTTTGACTTCTTCTTTGAAATCATCTGATGCTTATGCTGATGTTAGCTCTGAAATGACTAATGAACAAATAGCCCCCTCCGGTGCCTCTCCTACAAAATGCAGGGTGAAATATTCAGAGCCTACTGTTATGACTGCTGGCAGTGTGTTGAAATCCCCAAGCCATATTATTACTTCCACAGCAAGAACTGAATTGATCCTTTTGGAACCACATTTACCAGAGAAAATGGACACTGCCACTTCTCCTCCCTCTGCCACTGTCATTTCATCATTACAAGACACATCAAAAGTGCCCGCATGGCTTAACCCATTGTCTAAAACTGCAGAAGATATCACTTCAAGAAAACAAGAAATAAGTACCACTGAAACAAGCACAGTGCAGACTCTGCCCATACAAAAAGTGACTGTAAAAGCAGGTTCGGCACCTTGGACAACCAATCAATCAGCCAAAAGTATTACAGAACCCCCTAAAACACACATGTCTGTGGAGAAGCATATAGTAAAGGAAAAATCTGGTAACGAGAAGGAGACAGTTGTTATAACCCAGAGAACTGAGCAACATCAAACTGCTGAGGGGTCCACTGAACTGATAACTGAAGGGACAGCGTCTGCAATCAAAAAGCTAAGAGACACAATGCACTCAGAAAAGATGAAGTTTTTTGAAGGCGCAGAAAAGCCCACAACTTCTGTAAGCAGTCACACGTCAGAGGAAGGTGAATTAAACAAGAATGCTTCCGCTGAAAGTAAATAATGTTGGACATTTACACTTCCTTTTGCATTGTCTTGTACCTGTTTACTGGAAACTTGTGTATTTATGTAAGGACATTTCTAGCGTATATAAACAGATGCTTATATACTCATGTTTTATTTGCTCACAAAGATTCATTTACTACAGTATGTATTAATGTGTTTAGCAAACATCATATCTAACAGTACACCTGATTTGCAAAACGTCATACCATTATTCCAGGTCTACTGCCGAAGGAACACAGTCATCATAAATACACAGAACAGAATTCAGCAGATATGAACTTCAAAAGTTAAACATACTGACAGGTATTTGTCTTCCTAAAAAAGAACTGGAAAGACATATTAAGCTAACAGTTTTTCTTTTCCTGTATTTTAGCTTTAAAGACTCACTTTTTAATGGTGATATGCACATTATGCAATATGAAATATTATAGAAGAAGTAACTATTAATCATTTTCTAGTAGATTCCACTTGGTGTATGGCTCATACTTAGAGGATTTAGAATAACAACAAAACAATTAAGCATAACGTTGAGCTGAATTCAGAAAAGCTATATGAGGTTTGTTCCACTTGGGGAAATAGAAGTAAAAAGAAGGATAGAAAATTGTAAAGTGTGAAAATATGTGGTGTAAATATATTGTATTTGCTACTATATTTTACTTAGCCCATTGCAATTTCTTTACTGGTGGCACCAATACTTTGTATCTACTGTAGCTTTGGCTGATGCAATCAATGTATTTGAACAAGATCATTCAATAAATTTTGAAAAAAAGAAAAACAATGTATATACTTTTTTTGTTTCAAAGTCTTATTTTCCTTTAGCTGGATGGCTCAGTAAAAGGTTATGAACATACTTTTTGACAGAGAACATTTAGAAATGTTACATTTCAACAAACTTAGAAATAGTAACTTCAAACATGCTTTTTAAACAGAAATGAATCCGTGCCACCCACAATATCAACCAGCTTGAAATAAAATTATATGATATTGGGCATTGTGCATTCTCCTGTTAAAAAGATACATTTTTTTATTTTTAATGGTCAGAGTGTGGGCTTTGTTGCTGAAAACATTTAAAGCTATCAAACAACATTTTAACATTGCATTCTTTATTTGCATAATCACCGGAGTCAGGCAATATGCATTTATTGTATCGTTAATTTGTTAACCATCTCAATCAACACCCCTTCACCAGCAAGGGGGCCATGTGGTCCATGTAAGCTCTCTTCAGCACACCCAGTCATCACTGAACCAGTCATCATCTTTCATGCCCAAAGAAGGCTCCACAGACAAAATGTTGTGTTTCTTTTCAGCATGGAATATACCTTTACTTGTTCCTTTGCAGCCTACGCATGCTGATGCAGATACTTACTTGAACTATCATCTTGCATGCGACAGGCCACACTGCTCCTTGCACAAGTCTCAGCTCAATGAGCCACGCATCTCTCAGCAACAACCCTGCAAGGATAGGGGAACCCAGGTAGTCCCAGTATTTTAGACCCTTCCGGCCCAAGTGATAATTGGTTATTTATACCCAATCACTCGGGAGATGCTGGTATTAATCTGTTCGTGTAGTCCAGTTTTATCTGGACTATGGAACGTAAACTGGCTAACCTGACGCAGCTACCCACCTGAACCATTTCTGTAAGATGTTATACATCTTGTGTATCCTTTTATTAGTCATACTTATTCACCATTCACACACGACAAATGCAGTTATATACTGTATAAGTGCCACTTCAATTAAACAAATGTCAATCCACGTTTAAGGATCGGTGGAGACATTATTTATTTATAGCATCAATAACTGCACCGTATTTTTTGACATTTTGGTCATGATTCATTTCTTATTTATTTCGTTAATTTCTTATTGATTTTATAGCTTACACACTTTTTATCAATGCAAATTATAGTAGTAGAACTTCCGTTCTTATTTGAGTCGCAAAGTGGGAGGGGTGACAACTGTTTTCACTTTAAACAGTTACAAACCATCACTAAAATACTGTACTGTAAATAACATTTTAAATACATAATAAAAACAATTAACTTAAGTATTTAGTAAACGCACCTCTCCTATGACCTGTGAATCCCAGGTGGCGCAGGAAGCACTACAGCAGCAGCACAGAAAGAGGCAATACTTGTTTATTTTATTTTATTTTGTTTGTTTTTAATTTTTCTTAGAAAGAGGCAATACTGATTATATTTTAACCCTATCGTTTTTTTCACACACAAACTGACGCTATGTGGCAAAACCGCATTCAGACCCAGGGGTTGTGGACTCTCAAGTCGAAACTGGGCTCCCACAGTGCCATCTTCTGGTCTACGGGGAAAAGCTGCCTCACCCGTCCCTAAGACCTGGTGGGAAAATAATTACTGTACTATTCTTGCAAAATTTCCAAGGAAACACGTAGATTTTACTAGTTTTGTTTTATTATGCTGTGCATACAAAAAGTTTATGTCCTTCCTACTTAGTCATTAAAGATCCCCTGACACTGTTCATAAGAGTAGGGATATTAACCCTGGCATCACGACTGAATTCCACTTTGGGTTTGCTCAGTCTGTTGTGCCCTTAATTCCATCATTGAAGTAATTTCTTACCTCCAGGCCCTCCATGAGCTCAGATGAGGCCTGGGCCATTTCACATTGTGAGGTCCCCTCATTGTTTGGGAAGAAGGGTAAAAAATATTTTAATATACAGAATGGCACGATGGGAAGATTAAGGTGGGCATTTTGAAACTTCTAAAGAAAGGTAGATTCAGCACTGAAAGGGGGGGTGTTTTTTCACAGCTGAGGACTTTAGTCCAGAATCACAGTATGTGGTAAAAGTTCCAAATTGGACTTAAGTCGAGAAACACAGCCAAATGGTTAAAGTGGAGGACCACGCACCCTTGGCTGAGGTGAGGCCCCCCTGTGAGGTGAGGCCTGGGCCACATGGCTCTCTTAGGGCCTGCTTACCTCTACCTCATCTACTGTGTAGTAAGGGTGCGCATTTCAGTAGAGTTTTGGGATTCTTTCAGTTGAGTAGTGCTATAAACTTTTCTGTATCTAGCCAGCACAATTTATTTTGTCTGCTGGCACAACATAAACAGTTTTTAAGAAAATGTGTATTTTACATGAAAAATGTTGTTAAAATAAATATATTATAATAAATACATGTATTATAAATATATTATAAAGTCCCAAGAAGCTGGACATCCCTCAAACCCAAGTCGACCTCAACCCTTTCTACCGCAAGATTCAGCTCAAAGCTCATTTTGCTGACAACTGCTCCTCACCAGTCGCGGACAACAACCCAGTCACTGATGCCATTCACAATATTAATCCTAAACGGAACTCTTGGAATCCCCCTTCAGGCCGTTTTACACCTGTTGATTATTAACCAATGCAGCATTCAAGTTCTCAAGACCCTTCCCACACCTAGGAAACACAGGTCTAACATCAGAAATTCTGGCGCTCCTCTCTGCAATAGGGATGATATTGTTATCAAACCAGCGGTTTGTGGCAAAAAGACCTTTACATTAAGGAAGCCTCCAAAAAATTAACTCATACTTCTGCCTATTGTCCTGTCCAACAGGATCCTACCACTGACTACCAGAAGTCTTTTATTAGCAACCAGGAGCTCCCCCAGCAGGTGAACTGTCTCATCATCGAACATCCCCAGGTATCCCAATTCTATCTCCTTCCCAAGACCCACAAACCCGACACCCCTGGACGCCCCATTGTCTCATCATGCAATTGTCCGACCACACTCATCTCTTCTTTTCTCAACAGCCTTATGAGACCGCTGGTTGAAATGCTTCCCTTATATATAAAGGACACCAACCATGCCCTCCAAATTTTCAATGATTTCCAATTTCAGGGTCCAGAATGCTACACTTTTACCATGGATATCACGTCTCTCTACACCGTCATTCCCCACAATGATGGTCTTACAGCCCTCAAGCACATGTTAGACAAACGCGCAGAGCTCAATCCACCCACCCACACTCTAGTGCATCTTGCGGAATTTGTTTTCACACTCAATGTGTTCTCTTTCAATAACCTTTTTTATCAGCAGGTTAGTGGAGTCCCCATGGGCACCAGGATGGGACCTACCTATTTGTCGTCTGGGTAGAAGAACACTTCTTTGCTTCCTATACTGGCTTTGTCAATGAACTCTACAAGCGATACATCAATGACTGCATCGGTGCTGCTACATGCTCTAATGACCAGCTAAAGAACTTCCTGCATCAATTTTATTAACTCTCACCCGTCCCTTAAATATTCAGTTAACATCTTCCACCATCCGTTTCTAGACGTAAATTTATCTATTAACCATCCACGACTCTCTACCTCGGTCTATTACAAACCCACATTTTCACACAGCTATCTCCTGTACAGCTCTTTTCACCGCACTCACACAAAAAACACTCTCCCTTTTTCACAGTTCCTCAGGTTACGTCGACTCTGCAGTGACGAGATCGATTTCCAGAACCAAGCACTCAAAATGCATTCATTTTTCATCAACAGAGGATACCCCACCAATGTTATAGATAGGGCCCTCACGTGGGCCAAAAACAGCCCTCAGCTCATCAACTCAACAGAGAAGTCCCGGTCTCACAACCGCATTCCTTTGGTGCTTCCCTACCACTCTAACGCACTTTCTATCCCCAGGACCATTATTAACAACTACTCCATTTTACAGGACAATCCCTCCATCTGTACCCTTTTTTCTGACCACCCAATCATCTCTTACCGCCGACCATCCAATCTACATAAACTTCTGGTTCACAGCTCTCTTGACTGCACTCGGCCATCAGCCCCACCAGGAACCTTCCCCTGTAACAGAACTTTCCTCATCTCCTGCAAATACATATCTAACAACACTCTCATTCAGGACCCCTCAGGTCATTTCTGGATCATCCAGCATCATGTACCTCCAGCAACCTCATTTACTGTATCTCCTGCAAAAAATGCCCAGCTACTGTATGTACATTGGGGAAACCGGAGGAGACTAGTAGACCGCTTCAGAGAACATTGTTAGGGCTGTGAAGATTAAAGATTTCTCCAAGCCCATAGTTTCTCATTTCACCTCTTACGGCCATGATCACACTGATCTCCCTGTCTCTGTTTTCAAAGAAGGGTTTCTCAACTCCCATAGCAGAAAGACTACAGAAACTAAACTCATCCTGAAACTCGGTTCACACCTTCCTCCTTCTCTTAATTACTGATTTATTTTTGTGTAATCTTCTCTATTCTCATGCAGGTTTTTGACTTCACACCTTTCTTCACCCCTCTCCACTTTGCACTTTCTGAGTGGCCTCTCTGCCTCTCTGCCCCTCCTGCCTCCTCCCCTCTCCCAGCTTTTGTTCTTCTATGCTATTTAATCTTTGCTGCCTGCCCTCTTTCTCACACCTGAAGAGGGATTCACAGCAGAAACTATGTGTTTTCTCTCTTCTCTTTTCAGCATGGAATAAACCAATTACTTGTTCCCTTATAACTACAGTATACGTATTTATAAATACATATAATAAAAGTATATGTGCATATAGATTCTAGTGGGGTGCTGCATCAGTATATGTTGCCTGCAAAGGAACAAGTGAAGATAGCTTCCCTACTGAAAAAAGAAAAAGAAAGGAGGAAAACAATGTTTCAGCCGTAGAGAAACTCTTGACACAGTGTACATGAAGAAAACGTTACATTTCTTCTTTCTGCTTTCTACTTCTTCCTTCTACTATTTAGGAAACAATTATTGTTCGACTTGGATTTTCATTCAGGAGAAAAATCTGCCCTGTCTGAAGGTGTCAGGGTGATCAGGGAGCCAGGTGGCAGCTCCAGACAAGTCATCTGTACACATCCATTACCAAGGAATAATATACCAGTGACACTACCATTGACCTTACTGCAGCATGCATAAAACAACACTGAAAGGCAAATGACTGCACAAAAACACACGGATTGCATTACAGTCATCTATAGGTACTGTAGATGCAGCATATTCTCAGGGCAATAGAGTAACTCCTGAACCAGTCATTCCGAAACAGATAAGTTAATACATTACTCCCACAGCTTCAATAAAGTGTGCCTTTAACTTCTGAGACTTTTAATACACAAATCCTCTTTAGAAACCACTGCACTTTACCTGGATCGCGCATTGTCCTGCCGTTGTCAATCAAAAAAGGTATTCGATATTGCTAAGAGAACTAAGATCGCTGCTGTCCTGGTTCCAGAGTACGGTAAGGGACTACAGAACATTTTGAATTTCAAGTGAGCTTGCTGTGATTTCCCAATCTAAGCATGTTTTTCAGCAGGCAGGAGAAAAGGTTATCGCGTTTGGGGTTTTTTGACCCCATTGCAAACTTACCTTTTCTTTCTTCCACGAAGACTGCAACAATGTTGTGCGCCAAATCCCTGCAACATTCCCACCCGGCAGCTATCCGTGCACTCATCCGAAGCAAAAACCATGGAATCAAGAACACTTCTGGGATAGCTGCAGGTAACGCGGAGCCGCCTTCTTTATTTTGGGGGAGATTTCTGCTGGTAACATTTTTTTACTCCCTCCCCTTGTTTTATCGCTTTATATTCAAACGCTCCTTCTTTGGTCAGATTGGTTATGACATATTTTCAGAGGTCGTTTGTTGTAAAAGCAGGACTCCGATTGAAACTTGTCATTGAAGGATACAAGCAAGCCAATATTGTGATTCTGCACAAGACGTTGGCCGATGATTTTGAAGCTTTCAGCCATGCCAACAACGGCCCCTTGCCTCTACTGTACCGGAGCCCGCCAGGAGAGTGGACCTGCCCGAAACTGGCAGAAGATTCTGATATTAGGTATGTGTTTTACAGGTACACTGCCCAAGGTGCAGAAAAGGCAGCAACAGCACAGTAATTTCAGCATGGAAATTATTAAGCACATGAAGATACCACAGATTCCTTATTTTTATTGTTTTTAAAATAATGCGCAACCTTGCTATTTTGTTATATATACAGTAAGTACACCCCAGAATAAAATTTAAATTTAAATTTAAATTTCACTCTAGGAAGGAATTTAAATTTCCTAAGGTTATAACTAAACTACGTGGGTTAAAGTTTGACAAGGTTTAAGGTTGTTTTCCTTCTGTAAAAGGCAGAAAATGTTTAACATTAACTGGGGAGAGGATACCTTTGGCTTTATATCTGTAACAGTGTCATTTATAAATTTCAGTAAAAGACAAAGCAGTTTCTGAACAGTATTACTAATGATATTTTTAACTTTGAAATTCCTGTAATTAAGTACACGGACTGTCCAGGCATTATCAGAATGCCCCTCATTCATGGTGGGAAGGACTAGGTAGGGTAACCTAGACACGACACTCATACCCTACTGATGATGTGATGCAGCAGTAGTAATCCTGTTCAGTACGAGAAGAGCTGTTGGTGTGAACATTTAGTGTCTGTGAGGAGCCTATGGTGTAAAGCTACCATTTTTTGGACTATGCCTGAACGCCTCAAAGTCAGAATCAACCCTATTATGTTTTACCCAACATCATCTGTAAGATAAACTTTATCTATGAATTTTGAGAACAAAATCAGACAATAAAATTCTAGAAATGAGTAAACAAAAGTATTTTTTTACTTATAAAAAGCATATGCAAAAATGTCTTAATAATCAGTCGTTGATTACATATGAACTGGGTTCCAGCCCAATCTGTCCCATGAAAGAAAACCTTTACTTTTCCAGAACAGACTGCCCTGAGTATTGCATGTTTGAAAATGGGAACTTTGCTGGCAGTATTCCGAGTCTGATGTCACACTCAGAAGAGTTTGAGGATATGGTGACTTTCTACTTGGGCTGCAGCTTCAGCTTTGAGCAAACCTTGCGGCAGGCAGGAATCCCGGTCCGGAATGTGGAACAGGACCGTAACGTCAGCATGTACAAGGCAAGCTAAAAGGGACGTCTTCTGAGCACCAGAACTGCCAGTTGTAAATCTGCATAAAATCAGAACATTCTTCACTTTTTTTCCTTTTGTTTTTTGTTTCAACTTGATGAGCTGAGGCTTCAAATTGAAGAACAGCTGCAAAAATAATACTGAATCAGTTTTTCTCTCATGCAGGAGAACACAATTCCATCAATTCCAGCCAGTCTTATTTAAGTCTAAATAAAAAAAAAACATTCAATTATTATGAAACAGTTGTTACTGATGATGGGTGGCAAGATGGTACAGTGGTTTGATTTCTGGTTGCTTCAGTATCTGTGTGGAGTTCACACAGTCCAAAGACATGCTAGTAGGTTAAGTGGCTTCTGTAAAAAAAATAACTCTGATGTGTTTGCATTAAAAACATATATACATACATAGAATCAATATACAATTTCCCTTCATTGTGTTTGTGTCAGTTTGCTCCCTGCAATGGACTGGTATCCCATCCAGGGCATATCCTGCCTTCTGTCCAATGAAATAGGACATACTCCAGGGCACTGTGACTGAATTAGATTAATAGGTACTGAATGTGTATGTGATGTTACTGATCATATACTGTATTCTCAGTAATACACCTGAACACCAGAGGTCCTACTGTACTCTGCAGAAACCTGGACAAAATGTAATTAGCATTTGTTTAACAATTTACAGGCAGTTGGAGACAATTCTCTCTTTTTGACTGACATCATCTGTGTTCACAATGAGACTACGTCATATTAGAAGTAATTTTAAGTGATTTGTGTGCACAGAAATTTATTTTACACATCCTTACATATCTGATGCACATTTCTGTGCTTTCTATCACTCAGTGAAGCAAAAATTTGAGTGGAGCCTTTTGAATTGTAGATATAAATAGACTTGGTCCTTAAAGTTCCAGTATCTGTAGCTTCCTTTGGTCAATTTCTGAGCTGATCTGAGGTGGCATCATTTGTTTTTTTCCCTCCTTGTGATATTCTGATTTCCAAATCAACAATAATTTCAGCTTCATTATATTGAAACTAAACCAAAGCAAGGAAGAGATGCAGTCTATGAATGTGAAAATGTGTCTGTGCAGACCTCAGTGCCTTGCTGTGGGGTGGGCAGATTCCAGTGCCCCCTGGTGGTGACCATGAGGCCGGTGCCAGAGGGAATGCTGGACGCGGCAACTCAGGCTACACACCCCGCCAGTGACGTCCATGGAGCTCCAGTTCACATCGGATACCCAGGTCACCAAAAACTTCCTCTTCCATTCTGGCATGCCTGGGCACACAACAATGAAGGGTTATAAACGAGAGAAAGTCAGGCAACCCATCTTCCTTGTTTGAATGTTAGTAGTGTAGTCACATGAGGATCTTATTCACCCATTTCCCAGAGCATCTCAGGGAATCTTCTAAGCTTCTTGTGTAGGGGACGCCTATGTAAAATTTCATTGAAAGAGAGGATGCTGCTTGTATACTGCTCTGTTTCGGGAGCTGCTCTCTTTTTCTCTTCCCTTTCCCCAGGCCTGATTGGGGTCGAGGACTTGAGCCGGCCAGACTATGGGGACGCAGTGGAGCTGCAGCCCGGGGACGTGCCCGTGTTCTGGGCCTGTGGGGTGACAGGAGTAGAGGCTGTGCGGAGCTGTAGTGAGTACGGGGGTCTTCGTTCTTACACTCCCAGTACAAAATTCTTCTAAATTCTTCCCTGAAAACTTACAGAGGCAAATATGTGGAGACTTTTCACGTTTGTGTTGTTTGTCCTTGCCTTTTGGTTTGGTTTCCTCAGATTAAAACATGCTTTCGCCGTGTTTTAAGCCTCAGGAATCCCATAGAACAGTTCTAAGGAATGTTCATTGGAGTGCATACTTTTTTACCTGTTAGAGTGGGAAAGTACTGTATTATGCACCTCACACCTCAAAGACCAGAAGAAGGCCCAAGATATACTTCATCATATATATTGAAGGCATTAGTGAGGATCTGACGTAGCACCTTGGCTGCAAAAAAGAACAGGCTGAGACCCCATGCTAAAAAGAACAGAAAGATTGAATTCCTCAACTGCAAATGGCTGGAAGGGAGCTGAAGGGGGGCTGTGTGTTTCACTTTTATTTTAGTGTGGCATTATCCTCCACTTGCATATTGAGCGCCTTTAGGAGCACATTGTAAGTGATTACATAACACCAATGCATATGATATTTAGATACTCCCCTGTCAGCAACCAGATTATCTTTTGAAACCATAATAATAATAATAAACTTTATTTTATATAGTGCCTTTAAAGGTGGCTTCTCAAAGCGCTTTACAGGATGACAACAATAAATAAGAAGAATACAACAATAAACAAGGAGAATACACAAGATAAGACACAATTACAATATTTAGAGGAGACCATGGATGGTGGTACTAAGAAGAGCAGAGGGGTGAAGAATGGAACCAGTTAAGTAAAGGCTTTTCTGAAGAAGAGGGTTTTGAGTCTGGATTTGAAGGAGTTTAGAGAAGGTGACTCTCTGACATCCTTGGGCAAAGAGTTCCAGAGCTTGGGGGCATAAAGGAAAAGGCCCTGTCACCCATACAATGTAGACGGGCTTGGGGGACAGTAAGGAGGGCAGAATTTGAAGAGCGGAGGTGGGGAGTAGGGCGATAAAAGTTCAGACAGGCACTGAGGTGCCAAGCCATGTAGAGCCTTATAGGTGAGCATGAGGATTTTAAAGTCTACACAGAATTTGACCGGAAGCCAGTGCAAGGACTCCAGGACAGGAGTAATGTGAACACTTGCACTAGAACTGGTCAGGAATGAGGCATCATTTATAAATTTCATAATTGAAAAAAACAAAGTTGTAACCCTTTTGCTGTTTCTGCAAAACCCTCAGCATTGTAATATGATTAATAAAATGGTTATGAATTGTTCATAAAAATAATTGCTTACACTTATATAGCACCTTTCTGGACACTCAAAGTGCTTTTACAGGTAATGGGTACTCCCCTCCACCACCACCAATGTGCAGGCCCCACCTGGATGATGCGACGGCACCCATAGTGTGCCAGCATGCTCAGCACACACCAGCTATTGGTGGGGAGGAGAACAGAGTGATGAAGCCAGTTTGAAGATGGGGATTATTAGGAGGCCATGACTGGTAAAGGCCAATGGGAAATTTGGCCAGGACACCAGGGTTACACCCCTACTCTTTTATAGAAACACCCTGGGATTTTTAATGACCACACAGAGTCAGGACGTCAGTTGGATCTCATCCAAAGGATGTTGCCTTTTTATAGTATAGTGTCCCTGTCACTATACTGGGGTATTAGGATCCTCATGGACCACAGGGTGAGCACCCCTTACTGGCCCCACTAACACCTCTTCCAGCAGCAACCTTGATTTTTCCCAGGAGGTCTCCCATCCAGGTACTGACCAGGCTCACACCTGCTGAGCTCCAGGGAGTTGCCAGTTGTGAGTTACAAAGTGATATAGCTGCTGACTCAGAGAATCATTTATAAAGTCTACAGTTTTTAGATGTTGTTACTCGAAAGGAAAGTGTAATACATATTTCAAATATCAAAGACAGCTGAAAACCTTTTTTTATTTAGAGCACTTACCCAAAACTTTTACACTGCCTTGAACAAGCAGAATAGTAACATGTCCAGGTGTCATGAAGCAATGAATCCTTAATATATTTCTAAGAAATTCTTGTAATGAAATCTTATATATCAGAACTATGAAATGTGTGTTTAGTCCCTTTGGAAAATGTGAGTTATTTGTCCTCGGTTATGTCTTTCTCCTGAGGCAGAGTCCCCCTTGGCCTTCACTCACTCCCCCGGCTGCATGTTCCTCAGTGACTGTGAAGAGAGGGCCTCTGCTCCCAGGCCCAGTGCTGCTGACACCCCTCTTGCCTTCCGCGTTGCCCGGGAGCCCCTGCACTACAGCCTGGTCTCAGCCTCAGCAGTCCAGCGGATCAGAGCCCTGGAGACACTTATCAGGACTGAACCAGGTGCGAGGGCAGTCCCCCTGCTCGTAAGGAAAACAGATCGGCTATTGGCCAGAGAACACACAGAGCTTTTCCCCATGGCAGTAGCCTTGACAGAGAGATATTATGCGTTGAGCTCGACCTACAAGAAAGCATGAACCTATATAGAAACATTGCTTCATCCAAGCTGATCAGCCTCATGCAAGGTTCGAGACAGTCATGCAAAGAGCCTGTATGTATGTCCCAGATACTAGTGCTATAGACAGATGGACAATCGCACCTCGTGTGGGTGGACATACACTGTACATACATATAGATTGGCTCTGCACTTAGAAAAGTTCAACAGGAATGGATTGAAACTTGTTTCCATATGCCCATAGCACTTACAGTATATACCCAACAGCTTGTTCTGTCTACGATCACTCAGAAGAGAAGGGGCTACAGGTGATATAACATTTAACTTTTTGAGAGGGGAGCAGCAGCAGCATGCAAGCTTCAAAGGAAAAAGTAGAGGTTAAGATGAAAGCCAGGTGGCATGCTGGTTAGCATTGCTGCCTTGCAGAGCTGGGGCCCACATGGGTTTCCTCCAACAGTTCAAAAAATACTAGATAAGATGACACCCCTTACCTATTCAGGACAGCATGAAGGGGGCTGTCTCAAACAATCTCCGTCTCCTTGCTTGTTATTTTCCAGGTCAGAGAGGAAATAGAGCTTTGTTCCTTCCAAATGAGCTCCTCAAGGCCTGCCTATCCCTGTCTCACGCAAACTCAGTCCTCATTACCACTGGCTTTCCAACCCTCTACAACCGGAATCCCCCTGAGGAGACCGACGGGCTTCCTGGGGCTCTTGCCATGGCAACCATGCTGCAGGTTTTAAACAAGCAGGTCGTCATAGTAACTGACAACCGGGCCTTTGACTTCAGCAAAAGAATTATACATGACGCTGTTGATCAAGGTATTGTCAGCCGCTCTCTCGAATCTGACACACAGCTGTGATCTAAAATTACCTTATCACCTACCAGACACCAGTATCGATCACACATCCCCAGACACAGTGAAAAAATGCAGGCTTTTCAAATACGCAGAATGAAAAACAGAGCTGTACGGCTCGTACATAAGAGGAAAGCACTGGGTATATCCCAAAGGCTAATTGAAAGGATTGGGAACTTAGAATTTATACTGCTGTTAACTACAGGAAGGAAGAATTTAAACAGGACACACATTTTTACATGTTTTAATAGGAGACCACTTGAGACAGCACTAATTTTACTTAGGAAACATAACACGCAGCCCCGTACATGATGTGGTTAAGAGCATGAAAAATGATACTAATAGAGAACAGATTGCTGTACTATCTTAATGCATGGTCTCATGTGCTCCCAGATTGATTCGAAAAGATCTTTCATCAGATCTAAATAATTTGTGGCTAACAGTAAGACTCTCTAAATTAGTCCAAAACCTTGTTTTCTGGTAAATGTCTACATCAGATTGAGAATTCTGGTAAGAACTCTGGGGCTGAAATGTCACCGTCTGTACTTAATTAGCCTTAAATACTGTACAATAAATCCAGGACTTTCTGAATTTCTATTCATTCTTTTTTATGTATTCATGTCATAGAAATGTGTAGGAGCACAACAACTACACAGTTTGTCATTTTTAATCTCAAAGAGGCCTCAAGAGATAGGCATGTGTCAGACAGTGAGTATCTTTGAAAACAGGAAATGGTACTAAACAGAAGATAGCCACAACAAGTCTTGGGCTTCTCTGCTTACATCCTTGGTGTTTCGATTCATATCAGTGGCCCCAGGATGTGAGCTTGCAGCTCTGCCCTGTTCTTCCTCCCAGGTGTTTTGAACAGTGAAGTGCCAGTCCGCAGCCTCCAGGCCACCAGCCCCACATCCGTCTTCGGCTTCCTTTGTCAGGAAGGGGAGACTTCGGCTCCTAGGTAGCAGACAAGATTTTGTACTTTTTTAGTTGACAAAAAATCATTCAAATTCTAGATGGTTTACAAACAATTACCATATGAGCGTATGGTTTCAGTAGTTCTGTTAGATCCTAAGGAATGCAACAGAGAGACAAATATGTCTGAAATCTGAGCATGCTGAGGGAGTGGCTGCCTATCTGAGAGGATATGCTGCCCAACCTCTCCCCCTCTCCCTTTTAGTATTACGCACAGTGAGCTGGGGAGTTGCTACAAGGGCTAAGATGGGGTGAAGGGGGGATGCAAAAGAATTACGCAAATTGAAGGTCTGGGTAGAGACACATACAGTATGTAAACGAGAGTTAAAAACTCCTCTTCTGTATTTAACTATCAGTACAACAAATAAATATGAGAGATAACTACACTTTGCAGTTATACAGAACTTTTCATTTGAAGTCTTCAGGCGGCCTACAAGAATCATTGCATCTATTGCCTAAGGTCTAGATAAGAAGGTCCCTGATAGCAAATTAGCCAGCTGAAGTAAGAACTTGAAATGGGCTGAACCGAAGCAACCTGAACTGAAAATTCACCACTGTTTTTTGTTAACTTTGATGACAACAGCTGCCAGGACCGTCAGTGCCTTGTGTGTAGATTGCTTAACTGGCGAGTCTGAGAAAAAAAGATCAGACGCCTTTACACACAGGTGATTACTGTTATGACATGTACAATACCTAAGTAACCCTTCCCCGTCCTTACAGCTTTATTGTGCGATTTTAATCCATAGCACTATAGGCACACAACAAAATAAAGGGCTCTATCATTTCACAGGTAAGATAATAAAATAAATCCAATTGTATTGGTCATTGTACAGTCGAGCACATTTCAGAGAAAGGAAAAAGGTCTTTGTGGTGCTGTCTTCTTTGGTTGTCATTGAACAAGTGTGTTTTTCTATATGTGTAATTTCATTGCTTGTAGCTTCACTAGAGGTCGCAGGATCGTGTCAAAGGATGCATTTGGTCTTTTCAGTAAGAAAAAAATTGGTTTTGCCTCAGAACTGACAGGCGTATTTATAAATCAATTAAAACTGCCTGCCAGAAAGCTGTTGCAATACGGCTGAATGGGATTAAACCTGTCCTGACTAGAATGGAAAGGTATTTCATTGCCCTCCTCAGGTATGACCACTTGGTGGCAATAGAGCGTGCCAGCATGGCTGCAGATGGGAACTACAACAACGCCAGGAAAGTGAATATTCAACACCTGGTGGATCCCATTGACACTCTGTTCACAACTGCCAGGTCCATCCCAGGAATCACCACCACAGGTATGGGAAGAGAAGCAGCATAATTATTTTAAGCAGTCTTTAATTTCCCTTGACAAATGTCTCCTATTAATCAATAAGATCATTTTTAAAAGAATTAAACTTTAAAAATGTAATCAGCAACTATGGGCCTCTCAGGTAAGGAGGCATCTTGGTACAGTGGGCAGCAGTGCTACCTTGCAGTGCTGGAGCCCTGGGTTTAATTCCAGACCTGAGATGCTGTCTGTGTGGAGTTTGTATGTTCTCTCCATGTTCGCATGGGTTACCTTCGGGAACTCCGGTTTCTTCCCGCATTTTGAAAACATACCTGGAGGTTAATTGACTCCTGGGAAATTGACCCTAGCTGTGAGTGTGCGCAATTACTGTGTCTGCGTGTGTTCTACAATAGACTGGCATCGGGTCCAGGATATACTGTACCCTGCCTTGTGCCCTATTGCCTGCCAGAGTAGGCTGCTGCTCCCCTGCAACCCTGAATGAGAAGATGTGGTTTGAAAATGGATGGATGGATATCTTGTTAAAGGACCCATCTTTTACCCATCAGAATAATTGTGATGAAGTTGTGAGTTCCTGTGTGTGCTGTGTTCCTCCATCTACAACTGGAGGAAATGAAGCTCATGAAAACTTGCTTAAACCAGAATAACATTCATCAGTGGTACCATACAGGTGACACTTTCCCAGCCCACACTCAGTGCAGCCTGAGGGATCTGAAACAGGTCAAAAGATCTTCTGCACATTACACATTACATGAACAGTACATTGTTAGTCACTGCAGGTTGTTACATTCAGTCAGTGACAGTGAGACAAGTACTAATAGGATTCTATGTCCAGTGCTAACAGAGTACAGAGGCCTTAGGACAGAAGCAAGACTGAAATGCTTTTTGATTATTCATAGTATAACTGAAATCTGACTGTGAGACTGTTCCATGGAAATGTCTTAAAACTGAATTGAGGAATTGTCTCAAAATCACCTTTGGTGGACATCTGTGCTCCTTCAAATTAATTTACTGAATTTCAACTCACCTGTGTAAAGTAGGACAGGTGTTCCAGTACACTACACATGGTCATGGCTTCGAAATGCCACAGTGTGGCTCCAAACAGACTTTACTTGAAGGGGAATTGCGGTCCCAATTTCTCAGACCGGTTATTAAATCTCAGTTTCAAAATAAATGAATTGACATTCTAGAAAAAAAAATACAAATTTCAAATTAAGCGCAACTTTGTGAAAGTCCTGTAAGTCACCCCGTTGTCACAAATTCGCATTCGAGTTCCCACAAATTGTGACGAAAAGCTGCCCTTCCTGCTCGCTCGTTACTGTAATGACTAATGGAATGTGATGTTCAAGCAAATAAGTACAGGTTGTGCAGCAGACATCTCACTGCAGAAACATGCCAACGTGATCTGTCTACCGAGTTAACAAGTAAGTAGTATTTGTTGCCATCTTGCCATCAGCTCCGCTGTTGCAGCACAAGTAGTTGCTAAAAATACTGAATGAGTGGAAACATGGTGGGAAACAATGTTGAGAAATGCATTTTGTGTTGCTCAATGCTTTGAGGCAGCTTTGTAAAAAAATCAGGACCCAATGGAGTAGGATTTCTCAATCAGCCACAGGATTTGAACCAGCATCAGACACAGAGCCTTAGCCACAGAGCCACCACTCTTTACAGGGGTCCTACTCCAGCTGGTCTGTTAGAGCTTGTTTGCAGTCATTTTCCAAGACTAAGACAGCTTCCTGTTTGAGACTTTCAGTATTTGTACAAAAAATTTGGCTTGCAGTAAATTTGAATTAGAGTTCTCAGTCACGGAGATGTAAACAGTGATCTCCATACCCACAATTAAAATGACTGCAAAGACAAAATTATGCTGATTTGAGGGTAACCACTACCTCTATTTACTGTTGCAAAGCCTGGAATAGATCCCATTACAAAGACATAAGAATAAAATAAGGTTCCTGAGAAGTCTGGAGGCTGAAGGGCTACCTCTCATTTGTAAAACTGCCTTTACTGGACTATTTAACATCAAGCTACAAAACCAGCAGATAAAACCAGAATCTGAAGATAACAGATAATTCTCTAAACATTTTGCCCCAGTGCAAAATATGTCCTACTTTTTTCTAACTCCAGAAATACATAGTAATTGTTGTTTTCTACACATGCATAGTGTCTCATTCAAAAATGACTTTAGAGAAATGAGATGCCTGTTTGGAAGCATAGTGGTGAGGTGGTAAGTGCTGTTCCTACCCAATTTTTGGAGTCCCGGCTTCAATTCTGTGAAGAGTTGGCATGTTCATGTCAAATTTAACTAGGTGCTCCAGTTTCCTCACACAGTCCAGAGACATGCTGTCTAGGTGAGTTATTGTTTCCAAATTCCCCTCCCCCTCACCTAGTCTGTGGGCTTAGCAATCGACTGGTGTTCCAGGCAAGGAGTGTTTGGCCTTGTGCCCATTGTCTGCTGGGTTAGTTTCTAGCTCACTTCAAGCCTGTATGAGATTATGTTGTTATTGATAATGGATGGATGAGAATTAGTTTCACTCCGTGAAACAACTTTTAAAATTATCACCTGTAGACAAGATAGAAAAAAAGTGAGGGGCTAGTTTCTCATGTTTGTATCATTTTACCACCAGAAAATTTACAGGAACTGAAATTTAGTTTCTTCTTTACACATCATCTTGCCCAATAAAATGCAATAGCTACATTCTCAGACTCATGAGCTTGAACATGAAATTAGGTTCCACAAAACAGGAAATTCACAGATGCTTTGTGTACTTTCGAAGACGAAAGTTCTTGTTTTCCCCTTTTTCCAGGAGTGTCTAACTGGGGTGGCTATGCGGTGGCCTGTGCTCTGTACATCCTTAGCTGCTGTCCTGTGCATGATCGCTACCGCAGGAAGGCTGTGGGGTTCCCCCAACACACCCAGCACAGCTCATGGGCCTCTGCGCTGCCCTCTGTCAGGAAGGTAACTTGCAGACAAAGGAAGATTTCTAAACATGTGAACTGGGAAACATGGTTAAGAACCACATGACATAGCAGTTTAATCCACTACCGTACAGGGTTTTACATAAGGTAGCACAGGCTTCTAGATAGTGTAAAGCCAAAAGAAATATGGCAGTACGTTAATGGTAGTCTGATTTTAGGTAAGAGAGACCAGTACAACTTCACAGCGACTTACAGTACAGAAATAAAGCAGCCTCCATCCTCTAATTGTAATTAATCAGCAAACAGAGTTCCAGCTGGCTTTGCCCAGGGACATTGAATTACAGCACTGTGTCTGGTTTTATTCATTACATTTATCTGCTTTTGTGGTTTGATATGGAGCAAACAGCTATCCAATGGGAGTCTTTCATGTTCCATTGATTACTAGATTAGCATCTATTTCTATTCCTCCACTTCATTCCTTCTTTTGGATATGCATTTAAGTGGCAGTGGTAATTGCCAGATTTTAAAGACATGGGTTCAACCTTTTAATTCTCCGTTTTATAGACCGTACATGACTTTCACTTTTAAAAACAAACTAAATTAGAATATGTTAAGAACAGTGTTTGAAGTGATATCTATCAGTTAACTACTGTAGTCATAGTTAATAATATGATGATATTTACATGGTGTTTTCTGGAGAATCTGTCTTGTAAAACTTTGATCTGCAATCAGAATGTAAACCTCGTTTATTGTTAAAGGATTTAAATCTGAAAATTTGATTAAGGTGGTAAAATTACACAAACTGTAAATGTCAGCTCAAATCATCTTGAACCAAGAAGGGAAAAATTGTAAACCTGCAAACAGAACCCTCCTAGGAGACCAGAAGAATTGAGTACCAGGAGTACTTTAGAAATGTGATGTTCTAATGATGTGGTGTCCTAGTGTCCTAGTGACTCGGTAGGAACGGTCAGCCTCTATTTCACACTGATAGCCTACAAAAGGTTGTGCCTCACTTGTGCAGGAAGAGAAGCTCCTGGAGATACTGGAGCAATATGATGTTCGCAGTGGAGCTGCTGGGAATTTGGGGCTGGAGGTGGACGGCCTGCGTTTCCATGATGCTCACTCCACTATGATCCAGCAGCTGGTTGACATCGCCCTGCAGCCCACAGCATCGCTCTGCTGAACCCACTGCCTTGGCAACCAAGAAAGCAAGTCCCATCACAGGGTATCACTGTCAGCAACCTGCTCATAGTCTAGGGAGAGGTAGCCTAAAGAATAGCTTCTAGGATCTTCATTTTTTGGTTTGAAATTGAACGAAACCCCGAGATTCAAAAATCCTTCAACACCATTAAATTCACTTTGCCTTCTTCCATCAGCCATGGCTTGTAGAAGGGACACAAGGTGCACTGTTGTTGAACACTTTCTTTCTATTTACAGTATCTGTGTGTCTGATTAGAGGCCAGGCCTGTCATTCTGGAGTGCTGGGAAAAAGTTTGTGAATCCACAATGTTGTTCAGTGTGTTTTAGACTGTAAAGGTAATTATTCATAGAAGTGTTAATAAAAGATGAAGATAACTTGATTAAACATATATACTGTAGTACAACGCAAAGACATAAGGTATATTTGCATTATTTAATCAATAAAATGATCCAACAGTAAATATCCTTGTCAATAGGTACACAAACACTTGAATTCAGAAAACTGTGCAACCACAAATTTGTTCATATTCTTTCACATACCTCCTTCTGTTGCAATTACGTCAATTAGACACTTCCTGTAACTTGTATCTTCCTGTCCTGTATCAGTTGTTAACCAGAAAGTATTTAAATTGGGTTAAGCAAACATATAGGAAAAAAAGAAAACATGCTCAACTACAACTACAAGTAAAATCAGAGTACAACGCACAACTTTTGTTTATGAAATTATCGGGTTTATTGTAGTGTGTCTCCACATACAGTATAAACCAGTGCAAAGAAAAAATGTTTCAATGACTCTATCCAGATATTTAAAGTTTGCTTGCTTTACATGTATTGTACCATTCTGTTCTAAGATATCTCCCAACTTTCAACACTGCCTTGCCAAAATGCTGCTCCCTTAGAAAATCTCCACACTAATTAAGGACATTAATCATTAATGTTGTGTAAGTGTGGACTAAACAAATCTTTCTTTTTTTGTTTGTTTTTTTACATAAAATCTTAAGGAGAGTCTGTTTGTTCCTCATGGTGTACTTTACCGCCAATATAAAGTCTCACTTTGCAAATAAGCAACATACAGTATAACAAAAATGCTACAATTACCATTTTTCCCTTCTTCCCTTTGTTAGGCTAGCCAATGACAAATCGCTAGTTCCAATGCTACTATACAACTACGTAATATACATGACTATAGAACTTAATACTTATTGGCTTTTTGTTAAAAGCTGGTAAACAGTTAATGGATTTTTATCTTTTAGTTAAAATTGACAGCTTTATTGACAGATTCTGTAATAAACACTTTGATTTTGTTCAAAGTGTTTATTACAGAGAAATGCCATGGTTTTTGAGCTGATTCTTGTCAGCCAGATTAAATCAAAACAGTGTTTAGTAGCATTCACACATTTGAAGATGGTGTACCAAAATCATGCCTACTGATGTGATTAAACGTGTTTTAATGCACACCCGGCATGCAGTGAGTATATGCTGGCTCTTATTCAAAGATTTAGCATACCATCAACAGGTGCTAGTGTCAGCATTGACTAACCCATGGAAACCAAGTCTAAACTGTACACATCTTCCAATAAATCAATAAAAATATCTCAACACATAGTTATGACAGTCTAAGATTTGCTCAGCAAAATTAATTATCTAGCCAAAGAGCCCGCTCAAAAGCAAAGCCTGTCTGATACCCAATATTAGCAGCAGTTTTCATCCAACAATCACCACTGTGTCACGTTGAGCAGGAAGGAGAAATGTTGAAACCGCTCCATTTGCCCGTAGGATTAACAATCTCCATGATACTAAACCCTGGTGTTTTCCATCGTACATCGTACTTTACAGGTAGTCTGAATCACGTGTAGTGCAAGATGTTACTGCAGCTTAAAAATTGCAGGCAGTGGAATTGGTTCATTTCTCACGGGTTCCAACAAAAAAAACACAGCTGTTTTTTTTAGGAGAAGTGGATTTTCTCGTGTCCTGGGAGCCTGGGATCAGTGGCACACAGCTGCAGTTACACACAACGGAACAGAATAAACTTTTACAGTATAAACTGTAAAAGGGACCTATTCTATAAATATGCATGTACTGAGTGACACAAGCAGCTACACCATAATCATGTGGCACAGTTTGTACTTTCCCTTTTCAGGTCTGAAAATCCCTCTTAGGGGGAAAGTTGAATTGTTATGGGTTGTTAATCTTACTCCCCCACTGGGAGGACTATTTAATTCACTACCGATGTCTTTGCCAACAAGTGAGACCTGACTTCTAAATAACCAACACGCCCACATTTGTGGCAACATGAGTGGCACATTTGTTAAAAATGCAGTTGTTTTTGTAAAGTGACTGCAAAGAAGTAACGTCAGACAGTGGGGGTGATCACCACTGGAAGAAATGACCAAACCACGGAGGTTAAATCAGTTGCTAGAAGCAGGAAGAGGCACAGTTCAGACAAACCAAACAAACTGAGGCCCAGCACAGTGCTCTTAGCAACTCCTCTTGAAAAAGCATTTTTGATACCTCTTTTTTTCCATATGCAGATTAAAATATGTGGCCCGAAAACATATGGTCAGCAATTCTTTAGAGGGCCCAGTTGAATCAATAAGAGATGGTGTGGGAGAGCAGAATACAGCAGGGCATTGCCCTTTGTAAAAAAAGCAACACTTACTCATAGACCCAGAGAATCACCAGCTTTCAGAATCCATACCTTGACAGTGACAGTGACAGTGGATTCCTGCAGGGAGGAATCCAAGTGCTGAAAAACCTGTCTCTTTAACGCTTGTTTTGCTACTGTATGTACTGTGATATGTGTGGAAGGACTTACTGTATGCTGTAAAGCAGATCTCCAACTGGGCCTCCTCTTGCAGAAACAAAATATACTGTACATACTGCACAGTGAAATCAAAGGCACAGCTGAAAAACAAATATATTTTGTAGACTCCTCATACACAGAAACTTAAGTTAGACATGAACTATGGCACAGTTGTTATGAGGCTCATGGAGAACTAGGGACCTGGTCTCTTGCCTTCACTCAGTGTTTAATTCTAAGCTGTGCTAAACACTGTAACAGCTGCCTGCACAATCTGGAAGTGTAGGTGTCAAGTCTGATCGTTTCTGTGGAAGCACACAAAAGCAATGTGATGTTATTGTGCATTTACAAATAATGGAACAATACTTTGGTCGCTATATAATATTTGTATAATGTAAATCAGCATTCTAAAATTAGGCTTCACGCCAGTGCTATCTACAGTCGTGGCCAAAAAATATTGGCACCCTTGCACTTTTTGCAAACAACTCGCAATTCTCTCTTAAAATAAGTCAAAATTGACCAAAGTATTTGGTCTCCACAATTCTTTATTTCACTGTTAAGATTACAGAACCTTTTTTTTTGATTCAGAACATATTATTAGAGAAAATTGTGAGTTATTTGCAAAATGTGCAAGGGTGCCACGACTGTACCATTTATTATACCACAGCATTTTTATAGACCTTCAATTGCAACATGTCTTCAGCTTTTCTTTCACACTGTTGCTTGCAGATTTCAAATGTTTCACTGTCGTTGTTCATCTTGAAACTCTACATAAATTATTATTATTATACAATAATTAAAAGAAAGTTATCCAGTGTTCACAGATTAAACCAAGCCAGTGTAGCAAGGAAGAGAATTAAAATGGGCATAAACTTGTTTATTTCGAGGTATTTTAATGGCTATCCAAAATAGAGCCTGTCAATTGGGAAACTCATTTTACATTTAAAAAACACCACGAACAGGACGGTTAGAAAGCCACTTACATTTCTACTGTAAATCCTTAAAATGGTCACGCAATACAAGCAATAATTACACAGGAAAAATGGTATGGCTTGCCGTTTTCTTCACTGTTCTTGCTACTAAATTACAAGGAATATCATTTATTGACTGCAATTATCAAAAAAATATCTGCCAAAGAAATGTAAACATCACACCATGGCCAACTGCCAATACATAGTTAGCTAAGCAGACAATATAAAAATAAAACTTTTAAAGTTCTTAGAAAAATAGACTTTTTTCAGATCCAGTAAGAGATCGTCAGATCACACATACACATGAGGAAGAATTAGAGATGATTTCATGCATTGACTCTGATAGTTCCATTTCCTTCAAACACCGTAGATGCCGTATACTGTATTTAGCATGGTTTCCTGCAAGGTTAAGGAGGAGGCTGTTTTGTATTTCATCAACAAAGTTTGTTTTATGCAAATATAGTAATAGCATAAGAAAATCTGCACACAATGAATCTATGGTACTCCCTTAAAACCCATTCATGCATAGGGTTGGCATTTACTCTCAGTTAAAGTGAAAGAGACTAGAATTTTAAAATTCAAGCAGCTGTACTTTAGAGCTTCAAGGAGAATCAGTAATGGGATAGCAATTTCAGCTACTGTACATTATACAGCATTCCCATTTTCAGTGATAGTTTATGAGGTGGATGTATACTGTTTTAATGTAAGCTTCAAATTGCACTGTAGACTATAGAATTGTAATTAAATGGTCCATGTTATTAACACTTACTGTACATGTTTCACACTGAACTTCACCACGTTATGGAGAAAAAAAGAGGTATTTAAGATGCAGCTGATAACCTTACTTGCATTACAGGGAGAATCATTGACAGGCTTTACACCAGGACAAAGTTATAAAAATGTGTCACTCTCTATAATGTTTTTGAGAGTTAATGAGGGGCCTGAGGGCATATTCCCATTACATTAATCCACAGTTTAGCAATTTCCTTTTCCTATGACTGATGCACCTCGGACCTTCCACCCATTTTAACAAAGTATTTTCCAAAGGTTGGCAATCGCCATATATTCCTCGACTTCCAAGAGTCTGAGAGACTTTAAAGCTTTGCAAATTCTTCTTCACAGTGAGCTAGACTGACATTGCAGTACATTATAACTGCATCTCTGATGAATGTTTCCTCTTTTGCAACAAGCTGCTGTTACTGATGAGGAAGTATGATGGCAACCGACAGTTCTCCTTTCACTGGGAAAGCCGTGTAACATGTGTTGCCTGATACATCATGGTAATCTACTTATTTAAGCAGTTACAATTTGGTAACAACTTAAGTATAAAAATGAAAAGAATTTTTAAAAATAAAAATGAAAAGGATGTTATCCAGTGTTCACAGATTAAACTGACACCCTGAAGTACAAGGAGAAAACTGAAACATCAGGCAATCAGGTAGCAATACTAAGCAGCCTGCAAAGCCTGGAAAACTGACTTAAGCCTAAATCTGATTTGTCTTCCACAAGTTTTGTGTTTTACATTCAGTGATGTGCAGGGATCGCTTTCATGCTGCCAAAAGAAGGATTTTAATTAGATGTATTATAAGAGATTATTTATACTGCATATGAGATAATACACCATATTTATTTTTTCATCCAGTGAGTCCAAATAAGACAATAATCGATAACAATATAATCATTGCCTATCCCCAACTCAAATGTCAGTATCTGTTAAATGTACAGTATAGTTCCTAATATAAAACCATATTTAATAAAACAGTAGTCTGCTCCTGTTCAGAGAGGCAAATACACTGGTGAATTTTGGAGTTACTATACAGAGAAGAATGAGTGATATTGTTCTTTGCCCAGGCTTTGTTATGAATCATGGCAGTAAAGCAGGCAGTGGTTCACTGTAAACATTAATAGCAGTATTGTAGACAGAAACAGTTATGAACATCAGTCAAGAGAGACAGTTATGAACATTTTTGTTTGGATTTTCCAATTCTTTATGATGTTTTTGTTTCTCGGATGCCCGTGGTTTCTCCCGGCTTAAAAAGCATTTCCCAGGTTTTACATGAAATGATACGTCTGGGGAAAAAACACACTGTTAGATATTTTTATGGGATTAGACTCCCTGAGGTTTCAAGTCTGTCGCACGTGGAAGACCTTTCCTCCCAAAGAAACATCATGGATGGTCAGCATGTTTCAAATCAATGAGTTTCACAAAGAGCTCTCCTGTCTCAGAATGGAATGTACCTGCCTGACAGAATTCCAAGCAGCAGGAATGAGTCAGTTATTCATCAGTTCCCATATGATTATGATATGAATGTGGTCTGTGATGTCAAAAACTGACAATATTACATATCGATAAGAGTTTAGACTTGCAGTTTCATTTATCTTTTTCCTCCCCATCTAAAGCCAAAACATTTTCTGAGTAGAACTTCAAGAGAAAGCCAAATTAAAAAAATTCAGTTGTTTTTCCCCTGAATGAGACTTGAGTCCAGCTTTTAAACGAAGGACACAAGAGAGCCAGTCAATGCACACAGAGGCCAAAAGATTCTTGCAGTTCTTAAAATGTGAAGGCAGATTGTTTTACCTGAATTGAAAATGACATCTCTGCTGATAATTTTATCTGTCTGCCCACATGTTCTGAGGCATTAACTATTTCCTTCAAATGTTCTCACTAAACATTAGAAGTTCCCTGAGAAAAGAAGTTCAACACCAGCAAACAGAAAACAAACACATCTCGAGCACACATCTCTGCAAGTGACGATTTTGTAAAAAAACAAGCCTCTTCTTGTTTGTAACTGTGTCCTTGTGTTCTCTGGTGCTTAAGCACCCTCTTTAGTATTTAATAATATTATACCAGACGCTCCATTCTCATGTGGTGTGTGGGTGTCACTGAAGTCTGTGGTGCCTTCCCTTTTGCAGCAGAAGAGTTGGGTACAGAACCCTTTTACCCATTGCATGTCCCTCTGAGCATGTTCACTGACAAAACAGTAAAGCACAGGGTCTGCCAGGCAGTTGAAACTGGTCAGCATCAAGGAAAAATGATAGTAGTTGAAGATCATATCAATAAAATCGCAGTTCGTCTCAAAAATTGTCCGAACCAACAGGAAGATGTGGTAGGGAGAGAAAGAGCACAGGAATATCAAAATTGTACTGCTAACAAGGTGTCTGATGCGGCTTTTCTGAGAGGTCTGGGTGCCAGTACTCTTGTTCACTGCCATCAGCACTCTGCAGTAACTCCAGGAGAGCATCCCAAGGGGGAAGAGGAAACCGATGAAGAAGCGGTAGTAGTTCACTGGCTTTTCCCAAGACCTCATAGGGTAGTGCTCGAAGCAAATGGAGTGATTGGTTTTGTCTGTGCTCAGCTCTTTCCTGAAAAAGAATGCCATGCTAATGCCAATCTCCTTGATCCAGATGAAGATGCTGGCCAGAGCTGCGGCCTTCATGGTCCGGAGGCAAGAGAAGCGAAAGGGATGTACCACCGCTAAGTAGCGGTCAAGCGAGATGCAGCAAAGAAACCCGATGCTGATGTAGATGTTCTCATACAGCAGAAACCCACACACCTTGCATAGCCACTCATTGTGTCTCCAGTCGTCCCCCAGAAAAATGTACTGTAGCCATAAGGGCAGGGAGGACAGGTACAGCAGATCGGAGACAGTTAAGTTGATCAGATAGATTCCCAGCTCATTTCTGGCCTTGAGCTGTTGCCAAGCATGATATAATGAATAAAGATTTGTGGGCAACCCAATTATTAGGACAAGGATGTACACCCAAGAGAACAGATATTGGTGAATGTCATGCTTATTGGTACAGTTAATTAAATCGTCTTGCGACATGTTCTTCTGTTCAGTTGTATTATTGAAATTCAGAGCCATAGGGGTCTCAGCGCTGACCAGCAGTTTTAAATGGCTTTCTTCCCAAATAAAAGTCAATCTTGACTCCCATTCCAGGGGATTCTGTAAAAGACAAGAAAATATTAAAGATACCATCAAGCTTATTAAAATTGGACTGCAAATACAAAACATCTGTACTACATGAAAGTTTCAACACTTACCTTGCAATGAGGTGTGAGTCATAATGACATTACTCATGCATTTGCTTTTTCAACCATTTCAACAACAAAATCCTGATTTTTAAAGGAACGGTAAAGGGGTATAAATATTAAGATATTAGCATCAGTAAGGTTTAGTTTGCATTGCTTTATACAACCATTGGTGTTTTGTTCTGCAGTTATTGCCACACTTGGCAGTGTACATGGTGGTCAGCACAAAACCTTCATCACTAAAGACGGCTGGGCTCCAATGCTGGAAAGTGGAGAAAGAGAACTCAGGTCTTCCCCCAGCATAGATGAAGGAACGAAGGTGTGATTTTATTGATATGCAGAGTACCGTTAATTGTTAACATGTTAATTGGCTCCTGTCTAGGTTTTGATTGATTTTCAACAGGCTTGGCATTCAACAGGTTAAATCAGTTCACCTGTGCCCCATCAACTCTCTCATTCAAAATGATGCCAAAAAAGCATTTAGTCAATACCCAAAATCTGTATACATTATTTTTTTTGTAAAAACATTAAAAATCCATGTGAACAATGTTTCTTTCAATGCTCAGTACATTTTCTTACTAAAATAAATCTTAGCATTCAAAATCATATTTCATGTAAAACCTAACAATTCAAAGATGTTTTTAGAAGGCACATATTGCCCAGTTATTTCACATTTTCCTCCATTAACTAAAAAAAGGAAGTGAACTACTTTTTGGGGCTTCTACAATCACTTCAGTGCTATGAATCAAAACGACAAAGAGATTAAACAAAACACAACTCTAAAGCATTTAAATGGCATTCCTAAAAAGATAAAAAGATCATGTTGTATTTGAAATGTATCCTGACACAAAGTGCTGAAGACCTTTAATGTATATTAAATAAATATACAGAGCCTGTACTTTTTCAGTGTTTCCTTTTTCACTTCACATGAAATGACCTGCAAAGCAAGCGCCTCTTTCATGATAAAACCGCACACAACACATTCATTTCAATGAACGTCAGTTTACATTGAAACAGATTTTTTTCTGGTTTCTCAACAGTGTGCTTTGGGCTAAAGATTGCAGTACCAAAAAAAGCATGCCAACCATATTTCACGTTTTACAGCATTTTCAAAGAAAGTTGTTAGTAATAATTAATTAGACTTACTGTATATAGTGCTTTTCTGGACACTCCCCTCAAAGCACTTTACAGGTAATGGGGACTCCCCTCCACCTCCACCAACACCAATGTGCAACACCCAGCTCGATGATGTGACGGCAGCCATAGTGTACCAGAACCCTCACCACACATCAGCTATCATTGGGGCAGAGAACAGAGTGATAAAGCCAATTCTGAGATGGGGATTATTAGGAGATCATGATTGGTTACAACCTTACTCTTTTCGATTAACACCCTGGGATTTTTAATGACCACAGAGAGTCAGGACTTCAGTTTTACATCTCCTCCGAAGGACAGCGCTTTTTTACAGGACATTAGGACCCACATAGACAGCAGGGTGAGCACCCCCTGCTGGCCCCACTAACACCTCTTCCAACAGCAACCTTAGTTTTTCCCAGGAGGTCTCCTATCCAGGTACTGACCAGACTCACACCTGCTTAGCTTCAGTGTGTGTTGCAGGGTGACATGGCTGCTGGCTATAAGTTCCTTGTGTATGTTCTAAATATAAAGTGAAATTGAACAAGATTCTTAAAAACCAAGGAACACATTTTTGTTCATGCAGCAAACAAAGATCATATAAAAGAATCCATGGTACAGACTGTACTCCCTGGCCGTACTGCACATTATCATTTAGTCAATTTCTGAAATACCACTCCTACTTTTAGCGTGACATTCATTAGATCACAGATGCAGTATACTAAATCTTGATACCAGGAACATAATGTGGGTGTAGTACAGTATATATGGCAAGCAGTCATGCCCCTCAGCAGAAATATTCTAGTATGAGAGATTAGTAATGAAAAATGCATGTCGTACAATCCTGCTCACCACCCACTGTAACTAAATAATAAAAATCTTATCTAAGTGACAGTAATAAAGTCAAACTCTTATCAAGCTTGCTTGGGACATGAGTGTGAGATGCACTGCTTCTCCAGTCACATCTTTTTTTACTTGGTAGTAAATAAAATTATATATATTTTATTATATATATTACTCAAACTGCTCAATTAGGCAAATGGGCTTTGAACAAATTCAGACTTAATCAGCTCATGGCACTTCAATGTCCTGCCTTGTTTCCAAAATGCCTTGGTGCTTTGAACTGGCTTCAGAGAATATGCGTTGGGAAGGGAATTTCAGGTCCCACAACAGATATGGTTTTAAAGTAACTAAGCAGCAACCGGCATCATACTGATGTATTACCCCCGAATCCTGGAGTTCAAATACATGTGGAGGAAAACATTTACTTCGATCGACTGTTGATTTATCATGGCAGGAGGAAATCTGCAATATCACCAAGGCCCATACTGTGTAATAAAAATTCAAAACATGAGGTATGTGTGCAAAGCCTAAATGAGCCCCCCTTAGCTGTTGCACCATAGATCCTGTGAAACTGACAGCTTTTCTGGAAGGTTATTGTTGCACCAGGCACCAGGAACTGTATGTCACAGAATTTAAACAGGCCTGGGAAAAGTGGGTGGGTAGAGAGTCACGATGGATTTCTGGACTAGATGTTGCATTATGAACAAACAGTATGATTCACAATTTAACTGGAATATTGTTATTATGACATGGCCTAATTATGCTATAATTGCCACTTTGTTATTTATTTTACTTAATTAATCAGTCAGTACAAAAACATAACTTCTATCTTTTATCTTATGATAAAGTATTTACTAAATAATTGTTTTAATCTTCTTACACGATTTGAAAACATACACATATGGCTAGCATCTAAAGAGTACAAAATTACATTTTAATTTAATTAATAAACTAATTAAGGTGTGCTGTGTAAGAATTTGAAAGAGAAAAACATTCATAAGAACAGTAAAGTAGAAAAAAATATAAAATAAGAGTTTTGTGTCTATTTCTGAAAAATACCTTCAATCCTGCTTCAGGATGCTTAAAGAGAAATTTCAATGAACAGTTCTTGGGAAAGTACTCTGTTAATTACCAGTCAAATACAATCTCAGCAAAAATTAGCTTACGCCTTCGGGCTGATAGATGAGTCTGTTAAATATAGCCGCAATAGACATACGCACAGGAAAAGTAAAAAAAAAAAGAAGTTGAATTATCTCTGTGCAGTTTTCCTGACTTGAAATTGTCGAGGTAAAATGAAATGGTTTGGTTCTCTGTTCCTCAATCCTCAGATTTTTGCCTTCCCATTAAACAAATTGTTCCCTCACAACTGAACTGTCTGATAGTCTATCAGATCCAATCAAACCCTGTTCCAGAACCTTCTCTTCCAGTCTAGTCTGCTTGAGGTCAAGACGTGTCTGCTTTCATTTATTGGCAGCTGTCTATCGGCTCAGGCTTTCTGACATTGAGTCATCTTGCATTTAGTACAAGATAAGGGTTTTCTGCTTCCCTGCTTTTGCATTCTTGTACAGTGCCTTGCGAAAGTATTCGGCCCCCTTGAACTTTTCAACCTTTTGCCACATTTCAGGCTTCAAACATAAAGATATAATTTTTTTATTTTATGTGAAGAATCACCAACAAGTGGGACACAATTGTGAAGTGGAACGAAATCTATTGGATTTTTGAAACTTTTTTAACTAATAAAAAAATGAAAAGTGGGGCGTGCAAAATTATTCGGCCCCTTTACTTTCAGTGCAGCAAACTCACTCCAGAAGTTCAGCGAGGATCTCTGAATGATCCAATGTTGTCCTAAATGACTGATGGTGATAAATAGAATCCACCTGTGTGTAATCAAGTCTCTGTATAAATGCACCTGCTCTGTGATAGTCTCAAGGTTCTGTTGAAAGCGCAGAGAGCATCATGAAGACCAAGGAACACACCAGGCAGGTCCGTAATACTGTTGTGGAGAAGTTTAAAGCCGGATTTGGATACAAAAAGATTTCCCAAGCTTCAAACATCCCAAGGAGCACTGTGCAAGCGATCATCTTGAAATGGAAGGAGTATCAGACCACTGCAAATCTACCAAGACCTGGCCGTCCCTCTAAACTTTCAGCTCAGACAAGGAGAAGACTGATTAGAGATGCAGCCAAGAGGCCCATGATCACTCTGGATGAACTGCAGAGAACTACAGCTGAGGTGGGAGAGTCTGTCCATAGGACAACAATCAGTCTTACACTGCACAAATCTGGCCTTTATGGAAGAGTGGCAAGAAGAAAGCCATTTCTCAAAGATATCCATAAAAAGTCTCGTCTAAAGTTTGCCACAAGCCACCTGGGAGACACCCCAAACATGTGGAAGAAGGTGCTCTGGTCAGATGAAACCAAAATCGAACTTTTTGGCCACAATGCAAAACGATATGTTTGGCGTAAAAGCAACACAGCTCATCACCCTCAACACACCATCCCCACTGTCAAACATGTTGGTGGCAGCATCATGGTTTGGGCCTGCTTTTCTTCAGCAGGGACAGGGAAGATGGTTAAAATTGAGGGGAAGATGGATGCAGCCAAATACAGGACCATTCTGGATGAAAACCTGTTGGAGTCTGCAAAAGACCTGAAACTGGGACGGAGATTTATCTTCCAACAAGACAATGATCCCAAACATACAGCAAAATCTACAAAGGAATGGTTCACAAATAAACGTATCCAGGTGTTTGAATGGCCAAGTCAAAGTCCAGACCTGAATCCAATCGAGAATCTGTGGAAAGAGCTGAAAACTGCTGTTCACAAACGCTCTCCATCCAACCTCACTGAGCTCGAGCTGTTTTGCAAGGAAGAATGGGCAAGAATTTCAGTCTCTCGATGTGCAAAACTGATAGAGACATACCCCAAGCGACTTGCA